GGCTATTGTTAGGTTGCATTAGTTGGTGCATTACCCATTACTGGGAATATGCAGAGCCACTCAAAGAAAACTAAGTTTACAAATAATAATTTTTAAAACTTACATTCATAGTATTTTTCTATAGAAGCACGTCATCAGGTTTCATTTTTCTCACGAGATAGCATTCTTTCAGCTTCTCTTTTCCCCTGGTAGTGGTTAATTATATTATACTATTAGATTACCAAACCCCAGAGAAACAAAAATCAGGAGGTGTAACAAAGCTCTTATCTCTTGTACAGCTAATAAAGCAAAAGTGGTTTGCAATGGCTATATGTAACCACCTTGTTTCTGTTAGTCCGGTGTTTAAAAATGAGCAAAACTCATCATCCAAGTACATACTTCAGTTGTGTTGTGGCAGACCAAAGGCAGCAGGCTGCAGGAGCTGGATGGAGGGCAGGCATACCAGTAGCTGAGTGAGCAGTTTCCTGTTCCCTGGGTAGGCTGCTTGAGACTGCTGCCCAGCAATTAAGTCAGACAGGCATCCAGGACTCATTGAGAGCTGGCCTGCAGCAGCAGGCTAATGGGACATCTGCAGCCAGTTAGGCCTGCCAGTCTATTATAAAAGGTTTCCCCGCAGGCAAGGAGAGCGAAGGAGAAGAAGGATGGACTGGAGTGGAAGAGGAAGCACAGAGTGGAGGCAAACTATAGGATGCAAGCCAGAGAGAGGCTGCCATACTGTGAGGATAAGGGCAAGAGCCTTTCTAGTAGCTGCTACTGAGGGCCATGGGTCGGAACCTGGAGTAAGTGGGCAGGACCAGGCTCCCCACATCCAGTGGGCCTCCACTAGGGGAAAGGGGACTTTTGGACAGCGGAAGGGTTTTTCTCTCCAAGCTAGTGACTGGTCTATGATGAACATGGCTCAATAAGTGGGGAACTCTTGCCTCTGAATGGAACAGGAGTGAGTGGGAGGGTTACCATGAGCCATTAAGGCATCTTAAAATCTGCCAAGAAGCACAGGACCCAGGGGGCATGACCAGAGCTCTGCCATAGTGTTTATAACCATTACAAAAACATCACAGTCCATTTTATGTTAAGGAAATATTTCTATGCTTGCTCTATTACTTAAATATATTTATCTTAAAATGCTTTTATTAAATTTAATCCAATGAGTTTTCAAGCAATTCTCTCTCTCTTGTAATAAATTACTATATTAATATTCTAAAAGGCTTTTCCTCTTACAATTTTTCTTCACTGCTACTGAAGGGATATGTATGTATTATTTTGCTATTAGCAGTGAATATTCATAGTGATAGTATTGAAATGGCTTAGGTCCCAGATGCTGGATCCTGTAAAAACACACAAAAGAAATAATCCTTTCCCTGAAGGAATTACCATCCAAAGAAGATGTGGATTCAACACACAAGCAAATGAGCATGGGGAGATTTGGCAGAACATGTAATATAGGGGTTGGGGTTTTTTTTTGTTTCTTTTCTATTTTTTTTTTCAACTGAGGTTAATGGCAGAGGAATAGTCACGGGTTGTCAACTGCTTACCCACCATCAGCAGGCTGAGTTTTGTATGCATCAAGACAGAGATAAGTCAGGCAACAATTGCTCCTAGAAGAAGCTAAATGTACTTGTCTTATAGTTTAGGAAATACCATCTGCACTTAATTCTCTTGACATCCCAAACCCCTCAGACTGCAGAAACAATTGAAGATGTGGAGAACACCACTCAAACGTCAATTGATTGCAATGCTGCAGCCCCATATTAGTCTCCAGATATTGATCTGTCATCTTACTTTTTCTTCCGAGGGTTTTGAACTCACTCTCATGAAAGGGCTAAAGCCTGCTGCTGTCAGTGTCTTCCTCATTTGTCACAATCACATGTGGTTACACTTTACACATACTGGGTGAGACTGAGTCCAGTCCTTAGCTGTTCTTGTCTTTTCATACCCACAATTATTTGCAGACATAACTTAGATTAAGTAATTCATGGTGATCTAACTAAATCAAAGTCTGGTTGCAAATAACTTTGGTCATGAAATTGCATCTCTCTGTGTTCCTACTCTAATGTAATGAATCCCTAAACTATGTTTTCATCTATGGGGCACTAATCATTTGAAGCTATCTGGCTGCAATCTGGCAATATGCTGAATGCCTGTTTAAGGTTTGTTTTATTCTGTGTAGACATATCCCCAGTTTTCAAAATGCAGTTCCCATGGAGGATAGGATCATTAGTACTAGGTCTATGGAATATAACATCTGAACTCTGATTCACTAATCTATTCTGGAAGTCTTTCAGGGAGACTTAGGAGAAATATTGATTTTAGTTTGCTCTGGATTCAGGAAAATCTTTTTTATTTTAATTTATGTAGATTTTTACATGAATTAAATTTACATTTTGCTTTAAGTTAAGCATTTGAACAAACCAAATAATTCCTAACATAACTCAACTGAAACAATCACATGCTAATTCACGTCAAAACAACTAAGTTGCCAACAATTTCCATTTGAAACAATTAATGAGCCCAGATTGACTCAAAACTCAACCCAGATTCACCAAAGATATTAGCAAGGTGGGCTTGAATTTTTGGTTTGCAATAAAATGTGAGAGAGTCATACAATGTGGATATTTAATACCTTTGATACAGCAAGCAAAACACCCAACATTACAAAGATGTTTTTTATACTTCACATAGTATAAGTTTCAGAATGAGAAAACTACTAATTACAACCTCTCAGTGTATATGTGTAAAAGGAACTTCCTTCATTTTTTCTTTTTGTGATCTGCTTTGCACTTGGTCCTTTATCTCCAGGAGCAGGAGCTGATAGTTTTAGATACAGAGGTTCAGATTCTATCCCCACAGACAACCTGTCCAGGAACATCATCACAGGTGGAGGCCCTTATGGGAGTTTGAACTGCTGCAGAGTTCAGACTTTTGGGATGAGGTTGTCTGGCCATAGTGAATGTATACACCACACCTACACTTGTAATAACATCACTGTCATCTGGATCTCAGTGCCTTAGTCTATACTGTTTGAGCTAAAGGGCCAAGAATAAGCTCTTGTGAAGTGTACAAATGACCTAGGAGGCTGAGTCACATTTTCAAAAATAACTTAAGCACATTGGTTATTCACATAGTTTATTCCTATTTTTCAGTGGTTAAACTAAAAAAATAAAATATATGTTTTCAATCAATGTATTTCATTTTCAATTTTTTTTTACCTTTTCAATAAAATAAAAGTGAAGTAAAATTCAGAAGTTGAAATGTTTCACTTCAAAAGTGTAAAAAAAAAAAATTAGAAGCATGGAGAATTTTTGAAAATTCCACTCAGTGCCTCTCTGCATCTGAAGGTAGTTAGATACCTTTAACAATCTAGCCCTACATTATCTTTGAAAGTGGTATTTAAGGCCATATCTACACTAGGAGATTATTTCAAATGTACTAAATTCGACTTCTGGGCACCCCATTTTACAAATTCGAAGTTCCATGTCTTCACTATGGGGAGGAATTGAATGTAGTCCAAGTTAGGCTCCGTTAATGTGGCCTCTGACTCAAAGTCCCAGGAAGCACTCTGGGGAGCTGTGAGAGGCCTCCCAGAGGCCAATTAGTTTGAATTAGCGGCACCAGAGTGTCCACGCTAATGTTATTTCAGACTTACAAGTTCAGGAATAGTGTTACTCCTCATGAAAAGCAGGACTGCAGAGTTTGAATTCCATGACCCCTTATTCTGGAATAACGGGCTTGGTAGTGTGATTTTGCTTAGAAAATCAACCTTGGGGGGGCTAATTTTGGACTAAGGTCCTAGTGTAGACCAGGCCTAAGCGTATAAGGCTTAAAAGCATTTTTGGCATTTTTATTCCTCATTAGTACAAAATCAGGAGCTATCTGAATGTTTATCTGAGATATTATGTACAAACTATTGTCTGAATAGGCAAAATTAAATTGAGTTGACATTTTAGTAACTAATTCTTAATATTCTTAGGTTCCGAGTTGCTTTTGGTTGAATGATAACTAAGATTTCTGTAACATTTGACGGGTAAACAGTTTGTCTGGATGCTATATTAAGGATCCATAGTTCCATAGTGGTACCAAAATTACTTTCCCAGAATAATACAAAATTAGAATGCATGGATTTCAATTTGTGATGCAACTGATAATTTCTGGATAAATTTGAAACTTTTATGTTAAATATAGTCATTTAAATGTTGTCAGCAGTATTATAAGATCCTCTTTATAAGACTTTTGTAATTAATTATTTATCTATGACGTCTATGTTGAGAACTTATACATTTACCAGACTACTTGACTCTATTTCAGCTTAAGCAGCATGAACATCAACACTTTACTGAGACATGGTATGAATAAGTGGTCAATTAATGTAATTTCATTAATGAATGTTGTAATGTATTAGCTATGCTAAAATATTTACAAACATCCTAACTGGGATTTTAATGGGGGCTTGGGTTTTCAATAAAGAAGTTGTTCTCAGATCTTTTTGAGGCTTCTTTGTGCTTGCCTTTCACTTGGGTATTTAGCAGACTTACTGTTTGATTGGAAATACACATAATTGTTTCCATTCCATTGTTTTTAGATAATGGGAGTACTGAAAGCCAACAGATGAATGGCTTCCTGTGAGAGGATATCAGGTTCTAACGTCTTGCCTGAATGCTTTCTTACTTTGTGGGTCTCATAAGCTCCATTTCAGGAGGATAAAAAAAGAGAAGGTCTCTAGGAAAAGAAAAGGGGAGGAGTGAGGAAATCTTTCCAGGAAAAAAAAACCCAACCCTTCAGTGTTCATCTCAGGATGTTTTTTACTTTTGCTGTTCTTAAGTACAATATAAAGGGAACCCTAGAAAGGGAATGTGTGAACACTTTTTTTCTATATTAACCCAGTGGACATTCTGTGTTGAGTGTGTGTAGTGAATATTCAACTCATTTACACTCCAAATATCTGACTGACTTAGAATTAGACACGACTTTACTGTAGCCACTTTTGTCCCTTCTGTAAGACTTACTTTCATCTCCAGTTTCAAATTCAAACTTCTGGCTATAGCCGCTGTATCCTGCTGCAGTCCTGACTCTGATATGAAATATGTACTTGGTGGCTGGCTTCAGACCTGTGATGATAACACTTGGCGCCTTGGACCTTGTGGAGGAATAGCTGAGCTGCTCATGCTCCTGAGGGACAAAAGAGGGGAGAAATGATATCAAGCTGAGTTGTGCAAACTTTGTAATAACAACAGTCCAATTAGAAAGCTCTGCTTCTTTCTTATTAATGCAAAGTTTGTTCATAAAAGGAGGTGCAGGTATGAATTCTAATACTCTGATATTGTGCTATCATCATAATGTATGACATGACTTGGGATCAAACATAAATTAAGAAATATTGCTTATTCTTTTATACCCACGTACATTGTATCTTTGTGATTTGGGTTAGTAATTATACTTTAGTCAAAATAATATAGTATTAGTACAAGACTACACTCACAGAAGATGGCAGCTGAAATGGCAGCTACATATTTTGCACAATGGACAAATTAGAAGTTCAGTAAGTATTAGTAAAGTGTAAAGATGTGGGAGTATTCAAATACCCGCTACTCACTTCTACCCGCAGGTAGTGCCAAAATGCCGGCGCTATCCGTGGGTAGGCCTGTAGGTAAAAGAAAATATAGATTAACTTTTTTTTAGTTTGAAAACTTTTAGCATGGTTCAATTGCTTTGTTGTTGTTGAACTTAATTTTTCTCTCCAGTTAGCTGTAATGTGATTGTATAAAAATTTCCTGGCACACTATAATAAAGTCATTCTTTGCAGAATTCCCATGTTAAGCATTTTCCAGCTGATTCTGTGCTGAAGTCACAGGGAGTTGCAGGTGCTCAGCATCTGTCAAGAGCAAGTCTTTTAACAGAGTTCATTCTTTCAGATTGCTGTACAAACTCAGTAATATGTAGAGTTGCACACAGAGAGTATTGATGATAGTTCCATATTTTTAGGAGATAGTGATGGTATGATAGAACACATAATTGTTTTATTTCATTAGTTATTGCCATTTCATAGTTTAGTAAGCTGTAATACTTTACTGGTAATTTTATTGTGCCAGAGCATGTCTCATCTACAATTCAGGCTGATACAGAACTGCCACAGGGTACCACAAATGTATACTACCATGCACTCATATTATACTATGTGGAATATTAAGTTATTCAGAAGTTCCTAGGCATAATTGTTTTATTTCATTAGTTATTGCCATTTCATAGTTTAGTAAGCTGTAATACTTTACTGGTAATTTTATTGTGCCAGAGCATGTCTCATCTACAATTCAGGCTGATACAGAACTGCCACAGGGTACCACAAATGTATACTACCATGCACTCATATTATACTATGTGGAATATTAAGTTATTCAGAAGTTCCTAGG